TGACATAGATGTGACATTACGGAAACCAGCTTGGTATAGAGAAAAAAGCCAGAGTTAGATTTAAAAATGTGATTTAAAATTTTAATTATTGGGTCAAGAAGGCTTTAGAGATTTGGACTGATTTGACAATCTAATTGGTGTAATAATATGTTTGTCTTAGATACTATAGTTAATTTGGTTGAGATTTAAATTTTACTTAACAGGTCGAAATGATTCTTTTTTTGTTTTTTTACTCTGTTTATATAGAAAACTATTTTGTAATAGCAGAAGAATTAGAGAGATCTATGATAAGAGAAGAAAGGGTATTAATTAATGATGTATTAAATTAAGAGATGGAATATATGTGAAAATATTAGAATGTTGTTCTTGGAATATTATGTGTGTTGTAGAAGGGATACCCAAAGTTTTATTAATATGTTTGTTTAAGATTAATTGGAATATGTTAATTGAAATTAGTGGAGCTTAAAAGCAGGAGTGATTTATGTAGATGTAATAGTAGGGATGATTCTGTGGATTGATTGAATTTTAAGAAGAAATAGATTAAACTAAATTTGTTATATCATGTGAGGGAAATAGAGGGGGGAATTTTTAAGGTATTAATTTTAGTTATATATATATGACTTGTTTTGCTATGATTGATTACCCTTTCACCACGATGTTTTCCTGAGCACTTTGATGTAAAAATTAAAAAAACCAATAAAATGTGTTTTAAAAAAAATCCAGGGTGGTTATCAATGACGGGAGCATTTGTACATCCAAACTTGGTAGACTTTGAAAAAGTTTGGACATATAGAGATATTCTAAATATTGATGGGAATTTAAAATCCAAACAAGAACTGGAAAATCAGGGTATAACATGTCATGGTGGGCACATTTACAGATGCAAAATAGATATGAAAAAGAAATGAAATTGTATGGATTTTACAAAGAACAATCTGTATTTGATAAGATTTTGTTAACTTCGGATGAGAAATTAATTAAGAAAATGTATAATTTTTTGTTGATTCTGGAAATGGAAAGCGAACAAGTTAAAGAAACAATGATAAGATGGGCGAAAAACTTTGGTTATAATATAGAACTAGAAAAGCGGCAAAAGTTATGGGAGAAAATTATAAATTGACAATGTCAACCTTGTATAAAGAAAATTTATAGAAAATGTTTTATAGATGGCACTTGCCACCAGCAAGATTAGCAAAAATGTTTAAAAATATGTCAGATAGATGCTGGAAATGTAAGTATAACTCAGGCACTTATTATCATGTTTGGTGGACGTCTGGCAAAGCCAGTGCTTTTTTTGTCATAGAACGCCCAGAACGGAGTTCCGGCACTTTTTTTTGATGGAACCTTGTATGGTAGGCAAGGTGGGTTGTATGACGTGCACCTTTTTTTTCTTTTTCTTTTTTTACAAACAAGGGACTGGGCAAATCTAAGGTTTACTGGAAAAAGATACATGCTTGGTTAGAAAAAATGTTGGGAGAACATGTTGATTTTAAACCTGAACTTTTCTTACTAGGTATAATGCCAGAAAAGATTAACAAACAAAGCCTATACTTGATTTTACACGTCACAACAGCAGCAAGAATATTTGAAAAATGAAGGATTACCACTAGAGGAAGAATTGATCAGAAAATATTGGAATGCGCAGATGGACAGATTAACTATGAGACTGAAAGATAAAGAAGAAACAGAATATTACCAAACTTGGGATTTATTTTATCAATGGCTAGAGGAAAGAATGAAGGATTAGGAACTGAATATATATTAGCGTTTTTAAACCCAGAGAGCACGTTGGTTGAAAAATTAATATATGTATGTAACAGAAAATTTATAAAATCTTTATATTTTTTTTAAAAAAAGAAGTAATCCCCTCAGTGACCATTCCAGGTGGTGGGGGAGAAAGTCTATCTTTCAACTAAATATTTAAGACTCAAATTACCTAGCAAAAATGGGATCAACATTTCTTGGTCCTTTTCCTATAGTTAGAATTATAAATCATGTGATAGTGGAGCTACAACTTCCTCATGTTGGGGAAAATCCACCGTTTTCCATTGTAGTTTGCTAAAACCTCGCAGAAAGTCATCCTTAACAACAATTCCTAAGAATTCACCTGGTCCCCTTTTGGTTGAGGGGGAGACTCATTATGAAATAAAATTAGTCTAAATTATACAAGGGGAGATTACAGTACTTAGTACAGTGGAAGGGATATCCATTGTCAGAGCAACTTGGATGAAAAGTACAGATGTCAAGGCAGATCGGTTGATACAAAATTTCTATGATACGCATCCTCAGAAACCTCGGGGAGATTCCTAACTTCTCTGTTTATTTCTCTACAGCAGGGCTTTTCAACCTTGTCACAGATTGTACCACTTTTAGGACATGACAATATTTGAGTACCACCAGTGCTTAGCAAGGTGTCAAAAACTTGATGACTAAAAAAAGGGGGGGATTTTGGGTTTTACTGATTAGATTCATTTGTTGTTATAGAAATGGCTAGTTTATAATATTATGGAAAAGTAAAAAGTTGAGGTTCAATGTTAAATCTTCCTTCTACTGCAACAGTGGAAGTATGTTCTTTTTCCCTTCTCCCCCTCACTTTTCCCCCTTTTTCCTCCCCACTGTGTCCTACTATTTGCTTTTGTATTTTTGTATTTTATTCTATAATCTAATACAATATTACAAACTGTAGAAAAAAAGAAAAAAGTACCAGTTTTAATTTCTTTGGTGGCTGTTCCTTTGCTGAATCACTTTCCCTTTGCACTGACAAATGTATGATAAATTTATCCATGTTTATTAATATGCACCACTACCAGCTAGTTCAGGGGTCTTCAAACTTGGCACTTTTAAGACTTGTAGACTTCAACTCCTCAGCTCTCATGGCTGGTTGAGGAATTCTGGGAGTTGAAGTCAACAAGTCTTGAAGTTGCTAAGTTTGCAGACTCCTGAGCTAGCTGGTTTGCCCTTCTGAGCTCTTCCACAGTGTAGAATGCACCCCCCAATCCCTTCCCTTTATCCTTAAAGACACAGCAAAGCAAGAAAATAAAGAAACACAAACTCTGTTTTTTTCTCTCTTTAAGCTGCCTCAGGCGTGTCACATGTCATAATGTTGCAATTCTAGACTGAAAGGCTCCAACAATTGCGAAAAACTTTAGCTTTAAATTAAGCCTGTTTACCTTCAAAGAAAACTTTCTAAAAGCCACAGACAGACTCAGTTAAAGGGGGTAAAACTAATTACATTTGTTTAAAGGGATTAAACCTTTCCTGTTGTCTTTTTTCCCCTTCCCTCACCCAAACTACATTCTTTTATAGCCTTTCCTCTCTTCCCCCCCTTTTTCAGTTCACCTCCAGCTCCAAGCTGCTTCTGGAAGCACCAATCATCTACAGTCCTGCCGGCTCCTGGGGCTTCTGCCGAGCCCAGACAGTCCTGCATCTGCAGCTGCCCCTCCCTCAGGCTTGGCTCGCTTCAGCTCATTCCCCTCCCCTGCTACACTTGGTTAGCAATCATGTACCACCTGCCATGTGGCAAAGTAGCACAAGTGGTACTCGTACTACCGGTTGAAAAGCCCTGCTCTACAGGATCTGTTTTCTTTTGGGGGGGTCCGACTATCAACTCTGCAATGAACCTGAATAAAGCCATTTGGCTCGTTTTCGGTTGCCACTAGAATGGGGTGGGTGGGTGGACTTTTTCTGCTGGCTTAAACAGTTCTCTGTCCTGTCCTGTCCTTAAACAGTTCTCTGTCCTTTCTGTTTGTTAGACTGGGAGGCTGAGCTTTCTGTTAGAAAGCTTGCCAAACTAATCTATTGGGAAACGAAGTTGATTGCATAGTAATGGGGTGGGAAGTTTAACTTTATATACTGTAACTTTTTGGAGGGAATTTTAGTACTGGTTTCACTTTTGACAGTGCCATTACTTTGTAGCCAATAAATATGTTCTTAAAGAAAACCTCAAGCCTCAGAGTTCTGTTTTAGTTAGTCTCATCTATCGGAATCATGACACATTCTTTATACTCAATAAATTCCTAGCTCCTGAAGACCCTATACATTTATGGATCCCTGAGGTAACACTTTTCATATTTTCTTACATTGTACCATACTTTCTCCAGGATGGATAATAGTATATTTATTTCTGATTTGATTCTGGATATAGAATAAAACTCTGGCTGGATCCATATTTAATCCAAGTTGCTGCAATTTTTTAGGTGTGTTTGGTACTCTTCATGTAAAAACTCTTCATATTAGAATGAAGGTTGCTATAATTTTAGATATTGTATTATTTGTGCTGTACTGTTTATGGTAATAAATAGTGTAGCATGGTACAAGGGTATTTTCATCAGCCAGGTTGGTTTTGAATATGATTTATTCTGATTTATTTTCATTTTTTGGTATTGTTTATATTAAATTTCTTTGAACTGTAGGAGGAAATAAAGTCAAATATTTATATATCATGTATATTTATGATAGAGCAGATTAAAGGCATCAGATAATAGAATTATCCAGTGATTTAGGCCAACAGAAAATATTTTAGAAATTGTAAGCATCTTGAAAACTTACACTGTAGCATTAAGATAAAATATTTTCCTTTTCTGTTTAAAAATGTTTATTGTTTTCATTCTTTTAAAATATCTTTAATACAAATTATATGTAGAAGTTATAAATGTTTATAGGTTTAATATGTGAGGTCAAATATAATACTTGTGCAACAATTAATTAGGTTGAAGGGAGGTGAAACCTGTTGCATATTGGCTTTGCTTGGCTGGAATTTAGTAGCCAGGTTTCACAATATAACTCTGTTCTATTGAAAATGAATAAAAGGAAATTGAATTGTAGTTACCTTATCAAGGATTAAATTTGTGACCTTGTTTCAAATTAATTCTGCCCCCCCCCCAAATAGAGGAATCTTATGTAAGGAAAGAATTCACTTTCAGCTTTTGAATACTGTGATAATATGAATGGCAATTATCAGTAATATGTTTCTTCTTTTTTATGTTTATTTTTAGGACTCTATTGATCAGACGTCAGCACATTCAGGTCGAGATCTAGTGGAACCTGAATACCAAAAACAATCAAGTTGCATTTCATTAAATCAGCAAGGAGGTAAGGGAAATAAGACATATATATTAGGCATATAAGAAAAAGAAAAAAACCAGCAACACAACAACAGCATACAATTTTAAACATTATAACATTTTCCAGTTGGCAAAATACTGAGGAAAGTGGTAAACTAGAAGGATTCGAAATATTTTGTAGTTGAAATGTCCCATTCTTCTAGTTCAGAAGAGTTGATCTGTCTTTACTCAAAAGATTTGAAGTTGAACAATCCAGGTTTAAGCTTGAAACTTTTTTGGCCATGTTCAGAACAAATCAGTATCAAGCTTAAATTTGAAATATTTCATTCTGTACATTTCCAGGGTTGGCTTATCTCTTTTTTAGGCTGTATGTTAAAAGGAAATTAATATGTATGAAGAGATATTAGGATTTTTAAAACTCCCACAGTGCTATATTGATTCAAGTAAATGAGATAAAATGAAATGGAATTGAAGTACTTTCATGAAATACAACAGAATAGATTGTCACATAGTGGTAACTGACTATGCTAATGGCACAATGTGATCACTGTAGCATTTTTATTCTCATTGAAATTTTGATTGCCTTTAACAGAATAATTCTCTTCCCAATATGTGAAAATCCAAATCAATTATTACTTCTCTAATAATTTCTATACCTTTTCCACAATCCATTTAGAAAGCTTCAGTATTTGAAGCCTCCCTGGATTATTGATTTAACATCACAGCAGTCATAATTTCCTTTCTTTAGCTGATATTTTTGGATTCCAACTGGAAATAGCCATTTGTTGTAAAGCAATAAGCTAATAGCAGAATAGCGTTAAAAGAAAGACAGGTCTCATGATTCCCCAACTTAAGGGTCTATACCATTTGTCCCAGTTTGCCACCCCCTGGGGGTGCGAGACGATATTCCAGGAGGTGCGAAAACTTGGATTTAGAAGTTTCAAAATTATAGTGTATATGTCAACACTGCTAACATTAGATGTTCTTGCTTTGTCAACATATGGAGATGCAGCCTTTTTCTTTATTATGCTTTACTCTTAGAATTAGGTGATACTGGGGGGAGGGGGAAGAATGTGATGAGAGTTAGTTAGGCATACTATATTGTAATAAGAGATGATAAGGCATGGCGGGATAAAAAACTGGGCAGAAAGCCAGCATTTCAAATTAATTGGAGAATGTGATTTAAGAACGTTAGTTGTAGGAGGAAATTTTGCTTTAATCTATGTGCTGAAGGGAGGGGAAGTCAGATTTTGGCTTCGACTATGTACATGCTGAAGCTATGCTGCTCGAATAAAGATTCTTTAAGGTAAACAATGCCTCAAAGTTCTTTGAAGAGTTTCATCTGTCGGAACCATGACATTAAGCCAAAATCTACAAACTTTCCAAACTTTCTAGAGGTCCTGAGCCCCAGTCACTGTCCTCAGACTTGAGGGAAACTGACAAAGATTCGGGAGAAGATTTTATCATGGAGAGAAAAAAAAAATTGCTTGAAGCCAGCAACCCGGCATCAGCTGCTACCCCGGGGGGGGGGGGGATCGACAGCAAACAAGCCAGGGGAGGAAGAGCTTTTGCAGGACTCCCAGCTGAAGGCAAAACCCAAGCAGCTTTGAGAGCTGATCTGGTTGTCAGATTGGGCCCAGCCCAAAGGAGACTCCAGATGCCTCGAGACTGCCTTGCCACCCACAAAGACTTCAAAAGCAGACCTGTGGAGAGCTACCAGGATGTCTGCCACTGAGGACTCAGGTGAGTGGGAATGCCTGTGTGCAGCTCGTAGCCAGCCAGTGGAGAGATTTGAAGGGCTAGGGCAGAGAAGCAGAAATCAACTTCTGCCGAGAGAAGCCTCCAGCCCCTCCTTTGCAGATTAGACAGCCTTCCAGCTCCTGAAATCCCCTGCCAGGGCCTCCAGCTCCACAGAGAGAGAGAAAACCCCAGTCTGAGGCCCCTGCAGCAGTGGGGAGTTTGGCAGCCCCCGCAGGTGGATGAGCTTGTAGCAGCTAATAGAGGCCTTGCAACAGCTTGGGGTGGTGCAGAAGCCAGGAGATCAGCAGCTGGTGGGAGGACAACCACAGCAAGGAGGCTGGTCGCCACCCTATAATGTACAGCAACCACTGAGGGGCCTGCAGATGATGGAGTTCCAACAACAACCCCCTCTGAGGCCGCAGGAGGCTTTACAACGGTTGAGGATGCCACAGCTCCCAGCAGACCCACAGCAGGGGGAATGGCAACAGACCCCAAATGTGCCACCCCTGGAAATGCAGCAGCAGCCAGGTTGGGGGCCCCAACAGCAACTGGGGGTGCAACAGCCACAGTGGGGGCCCCAGCAGCTATTGAATCAGCAGCCAGATTGGGGCCAATAGCAACTGGGGGTGCAACAACCACATCCAGCAGCCAATGATTGTTCCACCTTTCAGAGCAACCTTCAATGGAGACCCAGAGAAGCTAATTTTTTTTCTCAACCAAGTGTGCTCTCATTTGAACCGCTGGACCTATTTCTACCCGGACCCAACCACTATGGTCGATGTGATTGCGTTCATCTCGCCTGCTATAAGAAGCCTCCCCCACCTGAAGCTGAGCCAAAGCCAGAGCAACCCAAACAACCCCCCCTCGAAAACTTCCAATTGCTGCGACTGCTGAAGGACCCAGGCCACCTGCAGGCCCGCCAATCAAGTGCTTCCGATGCAGACAGCAGGGACATCGAGCAGTGAATTGCCCAGTCCCCTACCCCCAATAGCAGAGTAGACCGGGACCAGCAGCGAGAAAGAAACCTACCCAGCAGCCAATGAGAGAGAAATCCAACTGGATCACACAGGAACCGGTTGACCAAGTCACATCCCCCACGGAGGAGGACGCCGGGACTAAGGCTAGATCCACCCCCGCTCTACCCTCTTTCAAAAGCGGCGACGAAGGAGAGAACAAACCGATGGTGAGTCGACACACCCCATCTTTCTCACTGTCAGCCAAACTCATAATCCCTAAGTCGGGAGCACAGGTAGACTTAAAAGTGCTAGTTGATTCTGGATGCTCCCGGTGCGTCATTAGCTTGCCATTTGCCATGAAAATAGGCATACGAGCAAAGCTGCTCTCCAAACCTGTGAGGTTTGAGCAAGTAGATAGCTCCCTGATGGGAGGGACTTTAGCCACTCAATTACCTGAGCCCCTACGCTTAGAATTAGGAGAGCACAGGAGTTCATTCATTTCCTGGTGGCTCCAAAAATGACTGAGACTGTGATCCTAGGATTAGCCTGGTTGGACAAATGGAAGCTGTTTATTTGGTGGAAGGAGGGAATGAGAACTGTGAGGCTACCTATAGGGCCCAAGCCCCCTATTGATTCAACAGACAATACAGGAAACTTTGGCCCACCCAACAAGCGAGCACACATGGCTGCCTCATCACCACCAGCGAGTACAGGGACCTGGCAGAGGCATTTTGTGAGAAGGAATATGACACCCTGCCTCCCCACTGACCCAATGATTGTTCCATTGAACTGTTGCCGGGATCCAAACTCCCACGACCGAGAATGTACGCCATGTCCCCCCTCAAAATGGAGGAGATGCAGCAATGCGTGAACAAAAACCTAGAGAGGGGGTTCATTGAACAGGCCAAGTTTGCTGTGGGAGCCCCTGTGTTGTTTAAAGAAAAAAAGATGGGTCTCTTCATATCTGCATAGACTATAAGGGTCTCAATGCTGTGAGTGTGGAAAATAAATACCCTCTCCCCATCCTGAAGGACTTACTAACCCACCTGGCTAAGGGGAGTGTCTTCACTAAATTAGACCTGAGAGAGGCATATTACCGGGTGAGAATAAAGGAGGGAGACGAGTGGAAAATTGCATTCAATTGCCCCATGGGGAGCTATTAGTTCAAAGTCATGCCATTTGGACTACAGGGAGCCCCAGCCATATTAATGTAGTTGATTAATGAGGTCCTACATGAACATCTATACAAAGGGGTTCTGGTGTATCTTGATGATATCCAGATATACAGCACGAATATGACTGATCATATAAAGCTGGTGAGAGAAGTGTTAAAGAAACTATTGAATGCCTAGCTTTATGTCAAACTGTCAAAATGTGAATTTCACCAGACCTGATTAGATTATCTTGGCTATAGAATTTCCAATGAGGGTATTGAAATGGATCCAGCCAAGGTGAAAGCTATAATCGAATGGTGGCCCCCAAAGACTCGCGAACAGCTCCAGAGCTTCCTAGGTTTTGCCAACTTCTACCGTCAATTTATTCCCTCCTTTGCTGAGATTGCCCTACCCCTTACAGAACTACTCAAAATAGGCAAAGGAGGAGGGAAACCATGACCGGGCCAACCACTAGCATGGACTATAGGCTATTAAACTGCTTTGAGAATCTAAAAAGACTATTTGCTGTTGAGCTGGTCCTAAAGCACCCCTGCCCAGGGGAGCCCTTTGTAATGCAAGCTGATGCCAGCAAAGTGGCCGTAGGAGCTGTATTACTGCAAAAGAACCAAAGTGGGGCCTTGCAACCCTGTGCCTACACCTTGAAAAAAGTTACTGAGAGTGAAAGGAGGTGGGCGATCTGGGAAAGGAGGCTTTTGCAATCATATGGGCTCTATTAAACTGGAGACACTATCTAGAAGGGAGCAAGGTGACTTTTGAAGTATGGACAGATCACAAAAATCTAGAAGCACTGAAAACTCCCTGCAAATTGTCCCCGAAACAGGTGCACTGGGCACAATACTTTAATCGTTTTAACTTCACTCTAAAGTACATTCTGGGAGGGAAAAAGTTCCTAGCTAAAGCTCTATCCAGACTGCCCCAGTACAAAAGCCAGCGCGAAGAGATTAATGAGGCAATTATCTCCAATCTACAAACTGCCCTGGGGCAAAGAAAATAAAACAAAAGCTCTTCACAGACCAGTGGTTCAAGGACAGTCAAACCTCCCTAACATGCATGGATGGTTTGGCTTGGAAGGAGGGAAAATTGTACTTGCCAGAAGCCCTCCGTCTTAACGCTCTCAAACACAGCCATGACGTAAAACAGGCTGGACACCTTGGATA